TATAACCTACAATATTTGGGCTACGATAATTTAAATACGTCCACTTCGTGTTTCACATACATTTCAAAACAAGTCACTATAGTGTGTAGCAGTGGAATTTCAAATTATGATAATTTTCTGGCAAACTTTAACAAAAAGCTGTTATGAAGATGGATAACAAAAAAAATCTTAGTAAACAACCCACAACCAGCAAAGCATCAGAACGAAAAGTTTCTATGTCTTCAGAAGAAGAGGACAGGTATGTCTTACCTTTAAAAATAAGCCATCTTTACCACTTAATTTTATTTAGTTTAAGAAATGGAATGTCCGTACGAAATATGCATTTTTGTTGATCATAGCTTAATGCCGCCCCTCGCCAGTTAAATATCTATCACTATAACATACGGCAAATAGTTGAAAGTGTATTATTTATAGTATATTTCCATTTATTTCAAAACTGTGGAAGTAAATATTGTGAATGATATACAATAAATAAATAGAAAATGTTTCGGTAAAGTTCGGTTTTTCTCATTAAAACTGTCATTATTGCGTGCTTTTTTTGAAACGATGAACACAGTGCACAAGGTCATGCGCGAGAACGGCTTCGATATTTTGTCTCTTTCTGTTATTGTGCTGAACAAAATGGGTAAACAAAAAAAGCAAACGCAAGTATTCTTTTACACATAGGACAAAAAATGGCAGATTTAATAATTACATTTTTTACACGTTTTAATTTTTAGTTTGTGTATATTACGTTGTGCGTTTCTTGATTATTTGTTACCATTAAGCTGATGGCTCTGAAGCCAATGCTTTATAAATAAATAAATAAAATATTTTTTGCAGCTATACAGATTTTATACCTACAAATGAATTATTTTTATAGAATTCAAGTTTAATTACATACGTGTTGAGTTTTTTAATTATTTATTACCTGTTTGAGCTGATGGCTCTATAGCCAATGCACCATAAATACATAATAATAATAACCGTAAAAATGGCGGGTTTTGTGTATTGTTTAATAAAGTCACATATTTTGGGCAAATTAATTTTTCATTTATGTATTATTACCAATGGTCTGAAAAAGGTGTTCCGTTTAAGTAACGTGGTCTTGGCTCAATTTTCAGAATGCTTGTTTAAGCATGCAGTCTCGTGTCTGTCTGTGCGAAAGTGTAATTTTTCACGTTATTGATGCAAATAATATTAACATAAATTTTTATTTATTGCAAAGAGCCTGATTTTTGTGGTTATAGATTTTACAAGACCGGATATCACGTATTGAGTGTTTTAATTATTTTGTTACATTTTCAAGCTGATGCTCCATAGCCAATGCTCAATAAATAAACAAACAATTTATTCATTTTCGGGGGATATTTCTGTGTCATATAGAATTAGAAGATGTTCAGTTTCCATATTATTATCATTAATACTGCCTTGTTGTTTGTGGCACATAGTGATGTCCCACAAACAACCAGGCAGTATTTATATTCTATGGATTTTTTCTTTTAAACCCAGTGGGGCTTAAAAGAAAAAATCCATAGAACGTAACCGTATGAATATCAATCGTATCATAAATACTAACCATCGCAATTTTGCAATTCAAATTAAATTGTGTTAGAAGAGTCGATACTACCACTACCTCAGCTTGAATTAAAATTTTTCACCTACTGAATCGGTTCTATTGCGCGAGTCGAGCGTCAGGACCACTGGCTTTATTTTAGAATTTATTTTTCTACAAACGAAATTAAAGCCATTTGAAAAATGTATATCGTATATTATACGTTTTCTATTTGTTCAGTTGATATAGAAAAATTTAGGTATATGTAAAGTGCCTATTGAATACAGCAGTTTTCTTGTAAAATTCGAAGTAAGTTTGTGTTTTTTGTATCGTGAAAATTTTTAGTATTGTATTTTCACACCATGTAATAATGGGTGTATATCCTAAATTTTACTATATACTTTCCCCAAAGCGATTGATTCAGCAACCAAAGCCATTTGAGGTTGCGTCAATTTTTAACTGAAATAAACATGTTGTTCGTGTTTATAAAGAATAGCAACTAACTGTGATTAGAATTTGTTTTCTATTTTGATAATTATTATTAAATTACGTTCTATTCTATCTCCATTTCTATCTGTCAAAGTCACCATGCTATCTTGGTTCGACTATAAAATATGAGGATCAGCTATTAAATAACTATGAAGATAGGTTAATTACTTCTTAAATTTTACCCGTATGTCAAATGTTGTTATAGCACTTAACTACTGTAAAAGATAAAAATCATAAAACTCCTTCTATAAACTTAGAGCAAAGAATAAGAGATGCGATTCATTGTTGCTAAATAGAAATCAAGGCGTTTTCGTTAGAATCGTTTTCAGATTCTATTAAAAAAGTAATCTACATTCCTTACTTGCTTACAAATAGCAGACAATTAGAAATGAAACAAAAACGTGTCGAAAGGACCAGATTGCATTCCAATTCTTAAACAATATAAACACTACCACAAACGGGCAATCTAAATTCCATGGCAGGTAGGGCGCTGGTGTGTTCAAAAAATGGGCACACCTTCGAATACTTCAGATTCCAATTGCCGTGTTAATGTTGTATGATTCCGGATAATGCCCACACCAACTGTACTTTAACATTTTTCCTTGTGTTCTACTCAATGTCCTATTTGAGTGATTCCTGATCGTTTAAAACGTCACATATTATTTCAATATATAAAATTAAATAAAAGAAGTATCGACACGATAAAAAAAGAATATATAAAATTGATATCATGTTTAGTGTAGATTCCAAAAATCCATTGTGTAGTTTTAACATAAGCAACATCATTTCTATGCTTGCTCTTCGGTTTTTAACTTTTTCAAGATGTTTCTGCTTTCCTTGACCATTGTTAGCATTTCTTCAAAGATAAGTAAAATATATATGAATGACATTTCCTTTCAATGCTAATCTAGGACCAAGACAATTGAGTCAAACGCGAGTGTGTAATGTTTTCTGAAAAACTCCTTCCGTGCAAAGTGTTTCGTCTTTGCTTTCAACTACTTCATTGACAAAACACTTTCGTTAATTAACTGACTCAAAATTAACCTATTTATTCCCAAAGTTATGATCTCATACAATGTATTTATGTATATGTATGTGGTTTCTCAAATTAAAGTGTTCTGTATAAAAGTTCAAACTGTTCCTAATGAGGTCGAAATAAATATGACTGATTATACTATTTCTCCGGATTATGTAAATTGCTAAATTGTATTTACGATGCTTTAAAAATATCATGTCGAATTTTGATTGCTTCTTAGAGATGCAAGTTTACAAAGTGATACAATAAAGGTTATCGAGTCTCAGCCATAATATACACGCTTGCAAGCATGCGATCTGATACACGTATACATAATATATAATAAGATCATTGTGACATTAGGGGTTAATTTTATCAGACAACGGTTAAATGTTAGTGTAATACCTAGATAAGCATTTTTTCATTCACTTAGCAAATTTTAAAGAGGTAATTGGCAAAATGTAATACGTGAGGCGCATTGTAAGTTTCCGGAATGAATAAGAAAAAATACTACAAATGGTCAGAAATTAATTTATTGTATTATTTTTATTTATATATATTTTATTTATTATTTATTTTCATACGATTGAACCAATTTTGAAAACATTTATGCCACTCCTCCGTGACAATCTCTGAAACATATTTTTCATACTCTTCGACAGCCTCTTCAGGTGATGAAAATCGTTGACCGCGTAACTGGTTCTTAATTTTTGGACACAAATAAAAGTCACAAGGTGCCAGGTCGAGACTGTACGCAGAATGGCTCATAAGGTCAACGCTGTTCACCGTCAAAAATTCATTTGTCTGTCTGGCCGTGTAAGAACTGGCATTATCGTGGTGCAATGATGATACGGCGTTTACGGTTTTTACGGAGTTTGTCAATAACTTCCAGCAAACAAATGGTCGTGTGCCCATCATATTCAAGGTACAACGATTCTCCAAAGCAACAGTGGCCACGTGTCCAGTTTTATTAAAAAAAGAAGCAATCATCCGCTTAGAGGCACTTTGCACGCGCGCCACTTTGGTTGGTTTCAGCTCATCTCAAAAGACCTATACGCTCGATTGCTGCTTTGTTTTGGGATCGTAACTATAAATCCATGTTTCGTTACCTGTTACTATGTCCCACACCAAATTTGACGATTCTTCGTTAAATCTAGTAAGCATGGCATTGCACCAAGTGACGCGATCCGTTTTTTGAGCGTCAGTCAAATTGTGTGGGATCCACCGAGAGCACAGCTTTTTCACACCCAAATGTGTGTGTAGTATTGATTGTATTTGACTCATGCCTATGCCTAAAGATGCCCGAATCTCATGGCATGTCACATGCCTGTCCCTTTTTTAATCATACGACGCACAGCATCGATGTTTTTGTTGTCACAGCAGTGGCAACAAAAACACCGACGACCAACGACGGGCGACCATCACGAAATTCGTCACTGAGAACACACAACCGAGTTTGAATTTTGCAAATCAGCTATAAATAGTCGTCTTGCATGGTGCTTTATCGCCAAAAGCAGTTTGAAGCCGAGAAGCTCCGCTGAACTGTTCCACTTAAAGTCGTAGAAAATCATACTACGAAAATTTTCACGAGTTAAATCCATGGTGATGTAGAGAACCAATTTCTAAAATGATGCCACAATGTAAAAACAAGTGACAGACAGATGAAACAAACTGTATTCTACAGGCAAAGAGTTCCATTTTCTAATGCTCTAATTACTTTTTAAATATTGTTTATGTAAGTGACCAGTTCCGGAAACTTATAGTGCGCCCTATGTAAGTAGCCGTTAGGTTGCACGAATTGGTGTCAACAGAATCATGTGCGACAGAGATGATCAGAGAATCTCGTGGTCTAATCTGTGAGTTAAAGCTGTGACAGTTTAGTAGCAGTACTGGGTACACTATCTATCGGACAGCTGGTGACAGGCGCAGCATATTGTGGCTATCAGTCAGTCGGCGCCGGCAGTCGTTTGGGCGCTCCACCCGCGCTCTCACGTACGCATGGATCGCGGCCGCGCGCTTCATATACCGAACGGTTTCCGTATAACTCAATAATTTGCAAGTCACCAGCCTTGCAATTTTCAACCAGTCGGACTGGCTTCACGTGTCCGAAATTTTGCAACACTGTGCCGACACATAGAAGGTTAACGTCGTTAACGTATACTCGTATAAACACCGCCGGTTGTGAAACTTTGCAAAGTTTTTGCTTCGGACGTTCTAAAATTGCATTCCTAAGGCTTTAGTCAAGTATGGTTGCAATTGTGACGTGATCGTTGAAAAATCTCGATTCTTGTGTTTGGGAGTGCTTTGTGGTTTGAGGCTATGTTATCGATGGATTCGTTGTGGTGCGGGTCGGAGGGCGAGCTGTCGACATTGCGAATGTGCAAGGGATCCGACCGCGCGGAGTACCGGCTGAGTCGACGCAAGCCTTCTAAGAGCTTGATTCCGCCTGCACTGCTGCACACACAGCCTGAACAATCTCAACCACGATCACACCGCAGGAGACGGTCCGGCACTTGGCCGTAAGTTTTACGACACAGGATAAAATATGTTTTCTCAGTTTAAATATTTAACCTGAAGAAAGAATCATACTTATGCAAAAAAGCATGGAACGTGGAATAGTTGAGCCGTAGTTTACATTCTTAAATGGATTTATTCAACGTGCAACACAAAATATATTTAATAAAGGAGTTCGTAAAATATAGAAAATCAACGTTGCTTCTAGGAAACCGCACCAATGACGCGTAGATGTATTATAAATGTCGAAATCTGCGTTATTATTCATTTTGCTACTCGTAAGGAGTTTAATAAGTAATGGCCAATAAATAGGATGCGGATAAATGTTGGTTTCAATTTGAGCTAATAAATATTTTTAGATCCTATATAAGATTTTCCTCGTGCTGTTAATTTAATCGTAATTATGTTTATCCTATTTTTAAACTTCAGTAATAATCATAACTGATGGCTAAACTTTCTCATGCTCACATTTGAACTTTTTTTTTTACTCTACAGTGTTATTCTTATTGTCTTCCAGTGTACCTAATTATTATATTCAAAGAGCCGTTACTGTACTAGTCTTTACTGTCATGATTTTTAACAACACTAGCTCGTGATAGGCCTTTCTAATGTAGACACATTCCAATGCCATTTTTATCAAAATAAATAGATTATGTTAGTATATTTTAGTTTTGACGTTTTGACTAGACGTTTTGAGAACCCTCGAAACTATGTAAATCGCAGCAGAAACTTTTGTCTTTTTTATCATAAGAGCTAATTTACCTACTGAACGTATCGACGATAATTGTATTATTAACAATAAAACGAATAATGTACTTTCATTCTTTGTACAATAAAGCACAATTTAAGTAAAACATTGACATTCAATATTTATTTTGTCTCAATTGTTATAAAATGATCACGACGAACAATCTGAATGTAATATCAATCGCAAACACGAGGCGTTAGACTGATTTAATGCAGAAGAATTAATTAACTGTATAACCTATGTCAAGCCAATAATTTACGGTAGAAAAGAGCATTTCTCTCTTGGCGAGGTTCTTCCATAATAATCGCTTACGGTCAGGTTTCCATACTAGTGTCTTGTTTTTGCGCTTACAGACGCTACTACGGTTTCACTCTGTTCACCCCATTTCTTTGTTGCCGACCCTGATGTTTCTTCACTTGGGCCGTAATATAATCCTAATATGGAAATGAGAGTACTTTTTAAACAAATCAAGGAATTTGAGATTTCTCCACACATCTTATCTTATTGCTTCAGGCTATTAGTTTAACAATGTCAAGGTTTATATGTTTATAATATGTAACAAGTTACCAGATGTTGGAATTCGTGAAATAAATTTTTGTTTCCTGTATATTTAAATTACAGATTGTTATCAAATTATCTTCGTAGATTCATTTCAAAAACGCTTCAAAAATGGTATCATGTTTTCACAACACCTACAGCAACTATTGAACCATGCCTTTTTTAAAGCTATGCATGTCACTGTGCGTGTGTCGAATCATTAATCGATAAAAGATAAATTTGTCAACCATCGACACTTGCACTGGTCCGATGATATACACCCAGTAGAAAGCCAGTCCTGTTCACAATTAGCTTACCCGTTTGAAAACTTAAAGTTGCGTTGAACTATAAAATCAGCATCCACTTTACAAACAAGCTTGTACCAAATTTCACGCATTTTCTAGAAATATTTCTAAGCATTAAAAGAACCAATTAAGATAAGTAAAATCGATTACAGGTAATAAATTAATAAATTAAAAAGTTGTTATTCGATTATACTGATGGTTGGTTTCTCTGTCATTTTTACTATAACTAGGGTGAAGCAGGATTACAACTTCTGCTTTTGTAATTAACTTCGTATGTATTTTAAATCGACAATGCGCAAAAAAGAATCATAGTTACCCTATACTTGGTCTGAAGCGATTAATCAACAGCAAAATAATTCACGTAACATTTTATTCGTCTTAAAGCATATTTTGCACATCATGCTACGTATTTATTATTCGTGTTCTTTAATCAAATACTTATCTAAAACAAATTATAACTTATACCTTGAACAAATAATGGCACTTATAACAGACGATGGCTACCAAAACTTATTGTGTCACACATTAGCAATATGTGCACTCCGTCGGGTTTCACTTTAGGCAATATTTGCTTTCCTAGCCAGGCTTGAACGCGTGCGTGCAATCTGCGCGCGAGTCGCGTAATCTACGTAAACGCAGACGTATTGTACCAGTTATGTAATCTATTACATTACGTTGCACCGCAAGCGATATTTCATTTATTCTAAAATTTAAAGAATTTAGTCCGAAGATAACTCCGTACATGAGTATATATACACAGTATGATTTAATAAAGCTACATTGCATTTGATTAGGTATTACAAATTATAATCAATAATGAACAATGAACTTTGTTTCAAATCTAGCTATCACGATATATCAAGACACGATAATGCACGACTTGCGCGAGAGTGGCTTTCAGCGGGAGATCTCTATGCAAGAATACAGTATCGTTGAATGGCAGACGTTGTTATAATATTTTTGGCATACTTACTTGCATTTTACAGCAAAACGTGACCGAATTGACAATGTAGTCATAGATTACAATGTGCTATTGAAGTAACATAATTAAGCGGCTTAACTTTTAGATGATATTATGGATTACTTTATTACTTATCTACTTACAAAATAATCTATACTTATATGTTTATATAGTCCGTGCATTGAAATCATTCAATTGTGATAGTATAAGAAAAACAGTTTAAACAATTGTTTCTGCTATTTGCCTCTTTTATTTATTGGATGGATGAACCGATAACTTGGTGAAAGTTGCGGAAATCCGCTGAATGCGAGCAGCACGGGATCGCAATCGGTCGTAGTGGCGTTATTTTTGAAGAGTCATATGTTCAGTAGTGGACTTCTTTCGGCTGAAATGATGATGATCTCTCAAAAGTCTCGAGAAAACAGCAACACTTCATCGGGACAGACAGACAATATATGATCTATCCCCTAAGTGTCTTCCGCTTTTCGAGGTTAGCCTGCTAATGTCAACTTTAGTTAAGTACTTATTTTCTTTAATGAATTTCGTATTGGCTGGAAATTGCGAGTGCCTATTTATTGTTTATGTACACGCCAGCACATCAAGCTACACATTGACGTATCTTGTCCCGTTGCACTGGAGGCGATTTTCGAACAAAAATGTGTAGTCTGATGTGTCGTTGTCCGTACATAATTTAGGTAGTCTGACTCTAGCAGTTACTTTTTATAAGACTCAGTCGATCCATATAGGATGCGGAATTGATCCATTGTCAGCCGATGAATAGATGTAGGTACCTACGCTTGAAATTCTATTGTCGACTTCTTATTCTCAATATATCGCGCGGTTTTTCCTACCCATTCATAGTATAAGGTCTCTGCTAATAAACTTTTCAAAAGGTGTAAAATGACAAATTGAGGCCTGTTTTAGAGCGGGTACACACAGCTACTTATTGCAGCGATGGGCGATACTAGCTATTTACATGCGGTTGCAATCGCACGTTCGCATCGATTTAGACGCGTGTTTGCATCGCGATTGTATCACACACTGCAGGCTGCGACTGCATCGCGTTTACGTCGCGATGGCATCGCGTTAAGTCGTGTTTGCATCGCCATTGTAACGCTGTAAAAGTCGCAATTGTGTGTAAAAGTACACGATTAGCAACTGCATCGAGACTGAATCGCTGCAATTGCCCTGCTAAAATTAACCGTGTATAACCACTCTTAATTGTAATGACTTGGTTCTTTTCAATCATGCGGGACTGATGGTTTTGAATACATCAGGAAGTTTATGGAATTAAAGACAGTCTAAGCCTTCGTTAATACAATGGTTGTAGTTTCGGTATTGTTGTATATTTTTAAATTAGAGTACTCATCTAAACATTGATTTTTTAATTTTCTATTGGCACAAAAGTTGCCTTACACGTGTTCTGAAAGCTGTGAAATATTGATTACGTAGATTCTAAATAGAATGGATGCCATTATACAGTAATAACTTTTAACCATTTTGGCTATTAATTATTTGCCCATATATAATGTGTGTTGGCTATTTAGTACCTTATTTGTTGACTCTGAAGAACTTACATACGTTTCGCATCATGTATGTATATATTTTTTTAAATAGTAAATTTTATTGTAAGTCAATGAGTAAATGTCAATGTAATGTAGTAAATGTTCTATAGCACCTCATACAGGTACAAGTTTAATACAGGTTGATACTTTTTATTTCAGTCAAGTTTTATACAACAATAACAATTATAATATGGGTACCTCCCCCAAAAAACGCGAAAAAGGTCCATGTTAAATGTTCATACCTACTTGGCCGATTGGTAAATTAAATTATTGCAAACAGATTTGTCGAGTTTTGTGTTTCATAATGTACATAGATTGGGATAGAGATGGGCGCCAATCGAATAATCCTTGACTGGAGGCGTCTGGTGGTTGTTGACTAGCGACGGCGGCGACGCGATCTGTGTGATATCCATGTGGCTATGTAGCATATACACATTTTTCAGGTTTTTAAAAAACACTAAAACATTGTTTCAAACAATCTTTGTTTGTTTTCAACGTTTTTACACTTGAACTTGTATTTTAGGTAGATACTAATTATTAAAAAGAATAAATTTAAAACACGTTTGTAAAAAAATCTATATTCAATAATAAACGCTCTTAATTTAAATCTAGTATGAATAGGATGCACGTAGACAGGAGCGTAAATCAGTTTAAGAGTTTAAAATATTGTGTTGAAATATATTAAATAATTAACAAAGAATTTGATATTGCATTTTTCGATTTTCCTCCGGTCAAGTTTATCGGAGGCGGCGGCGGCGGCTCGGCGCACATCTCTAGTAAAAAATGATGTGATACGTATTGGCAAATTTTTTTCGGGTCCTTTCGTTGAGCGCCAGGTATCTTTTGCCCTCGTTTTGTTTGCACCCGATTAGATAGGATAATGTAATTC